CCACACAAGTTGTCATGTCTCATTAATGACAAGTATTCCGAGAACGCCGTAACAATTCGTGCAATGTAACTAATGAGACTTATTTGAAATTTAGCCGAGGCGCTGATCAATTTATATATTCGATGGAATATATAAATGATTTCACTTCATACTTTACTCTACGCCAGCAGCTCGTTACGATTTTTTAATTTGATATTTAGATATATAGTAATAGCCAGAAGAAAAGTTAGGTAGGTATGAATAAAAATACAAATTTTAACGTACGACATTGGCGTAAAAATTCTTTTGGGGCTTTCGAGGATTTTCCGTAACATAGGTAAAGTGGACATCTCGTATTTTTCACGTTTTCAGACAGTATCGTTTGACATTGAATCAACCGATGACGAAAATTATATTAATTTGTTTTAATGTTGTCAGAATCGTGATATAACATAAATACGAAGATATTTCGTGATTGATTCGACGAATTGACTTTTACTTGCAATGAAGAAGAGTTTGAAATAAATTTGAAATACAGAGGATTTATGTTGTTTCTAAATATATTTCAAAAATATGTAGTTTTAGTAAGGTCAGTATTTGTGCTTGGATTGACCGCTGCGTTCGTTGCGAACATTTTCATGCGCTTTCACTCCACCTTACGGCGTGTGTCGTTGCCTGCGTAATAAAGTGCGTAGACATAAGCGACAAGCCAGTCACTATGTATATATGCTTCATATATTCGACTCTAATCCTTCGATAAAAAAATATGGAGAGAACAATCGTGACGGTGATATAACAAGAAATCAAAGATACCGCGATTTACCTGTCCGTGAACCCTGAGTTATATTTATTCAATCAAACAATGGATTGATATATAATGTGTTATTCTCGTTCTCGCTGTTCTGTATGCCATAATAAACGAAATACATTACTGTACTTTTCTGAAGTAAGCAGGCAGTTCCGGGCCAGATTTAGTGAGATACGTGTACCTAAAAAAATACCAGATATTAAAGTACAATAAGCAATACAATCACGATGGTAAAAATTACATTCAACTTTGTTGCTATCTGGTAAGTCATAGTAATTTTACGATATTCTGACATCGTCCCAATGTGTACTCCTTTAATAAATAAAGTAAATTTATGGCATAATTGTTACAAATCGGGCGTTGGCTCTCTTTGGGCTTATTATTAACCAAATGAGATATGAAACAAAATCCGAGACACTGTTCTTCGTAGTATTTCGATTTTTTCCTAGAAAACCTAGAATAATTATCTATGTAATATTTCAGTGTATTGGAAACTTGTTTTGTTTCTAAAATTTTACCTCCTTTGTGTTCATTGGATTTTCAATACGTCTATTTTATTTGATGGATATGATGAGTCTATTATATGAATGATGACTGAGTTTCTTATCATATGTCATTATATTATATGGGTAATCAGTACAATTTATCGTTTTATCATTCACGATAACGACTTGATTCCTTTGGCTTTTATAGCGATTTTTCGGCTAGTGGCGATATATTTTACCTCCACACGCTCTTTGGTTATAGTAAAAGAGAATTGAAAGCTTCGGTTATTGTTCCACATCATGATTTTGTAGGCTGTGCGCCTGTATTTGAATAGGGACTTAAGCACACATTTGTCTGATGTACTCCGTTTTCATACAAGTTATGATACGTTGTATGCGCCCAAGCTAATATGCTTCAGCATTTATAACAAAGCATTTATATAGAGTCATAGTACGTACACACAGCAATTTTCGGTACTTGAAACAATCTGCGTAGGTATTTGACAAGTGTAACCCGAGTGATACCATGCTTTTTAAGTTTCGCGAGTATATATAAATGTCAAATTGCAGCCCGACCAGAAAAAAAAACATTTAAGGCAGTTGAACGGTTGGTTCCAGTCAAAGTGTAATGAAGTTTTATGGGTGAGACATGTCAGTGATTGAAATCGAAGGAGTAAAGCTTGTTAACAGGAATGGAACGCCAATTATTTTTTAACAATTCACTCATTTCGTTTTAGATATGATATGTGGTATGCGTTTGTTATGTGTCAAGAATTCTTGACAGGCTAGCTCTAAGTTGCTCAAAAACGTAACGGAAGAAATTAGTCTAGGAATAGGAAACACATGATATCACATCAACTGCTGAAAGCATGGAATCTCCAGGTTCTGGTTCTCGAGGGGAAAGTCAATCCAAGGAACAACAAAACTTAAATGAGTGCGTCAATCTCGTTCTAGAATCGCAATCAGGCGTGTCGGAATCTGAAAATCTCGAAGAAGATGTCTTTTTGAGCCAGGTCATAGATGACAACGATGACGAATTTTCTACTCCTCCCACCACCCCAACAACAACACGCCAGAAGTCAACTCACCAAAACAATAAAGTTAAATCACCATCAATAAGCACGATAATGAATAGAAATCAAACTACCGCATATTGGTGTTCGGATTCACCAGATTCTAAGGTAATTGAGATAATAATTGTACGTTAACTCTGTGTTCGTGCTCGTGTATTTAGATCTAGACATGTTTCTATTCTGACCTTAATCCAAAATTCAGATAATAAGCATTAGAGAAACGTATACATTTATTATGTTTATATATAAAAAAAAATTGTGTCATGTTTTCAATAAATAAATAAAAATTAGGTACTAGAAAAAACATTAACATGACTTGACATGAAACTTTCAGATATCAATTGCTGATCAAGCAAGTGGAGTTCTAAGTGCTTTTGCTATTTCAATGCTCGAGGTACGTTATATTGTTTTGTTTAAAGCCTAATTCAAAACATTTTGTGCACTAATCGCCGAGTCGGTGTGAAACAGTCCGCGCATCTCAAGTTATCAGGCAAAAACTACGAACTCACTAGAAATTAGATCAATCAGTTAAAGTTGAATAATTTACTGATGACAAGACATGTGTAGTATGCGAGTTGTCGAAGTATAGATATGCAAGCATGCACTCCAAAGAGTTGACGAAATATTCACAAAAATATTTGTCGCATTTTACATGGTATAAAATATGACACAGCTATAATGATCCATTACTGTGCAATACAGCGGCGTTTCGATATTTTTAATTGATGTAGAAATCATACTGAAGCTAACGGCCACATATTTGTAAGACTGAGATATCCCTATTGTGCATATTTGACTGAGCACTTCAACTTAATCTTTGCAAATAATTTAGTTCATTGGCATGATAGATAATTTGGTAGACATAATAAATTCATGTTATATGAGGTCAAGTTGTAGTTGTCTTACATATCAAATATATGATAAACAAATGTACATATCATGATACAAATCTCTGAGATATATTTTTATAAATTATTTTATTGCCTGCTATTTCAATATTGATTGAAAATGGAGTTATGTTTATAAATATGCAATTACTTCAAATTCCACATTGGTTATTGAACACAATAAGCTCTGTGAACGATATAATGATTTTATCATACATAAGTTCGTCTGAGATGGTGATTGCTTTTGCAGGGGAATTTAGACATCAAATACGAATATAAATTCCCTTTTTTTTTATTCATTTTTAAGTCTTGATTCTTCTCTAGATCGTTTCCTGACTGTAGACCGCGAACGCTCTTGTTGAAACGTTCGTAATTCTAGTTTATAAAAATATGTTAAGCCTATCCCACAATAAAGAATATACTCTATCTCTGGGACGTGTTTTCTTTTTAATACAAACAATTTGAGACGAACACCAATTTGCTCCAGCTGTAATTCGTTCAATTATTAGTGACATATTATAATGACGAACTTTCTGCAGGCCACTATAATAAAATTTTATGACTTTGAAATCATACCATTTGCTCGCATCTAGTGTTGGCTCACGGATTTCGTAATTTCACTGTCTTTCTAGATTCATGAATTTTTTATAGCACGCATGATAACGCTTTTACTGCCTCACCACTCAACGACTAATAATATGAGTGTGTATTTTTGTATGAATCAAGCTATATCACGCCTCAATGTAACATTGGGCATAATCATTTATTCATTTTATCATACAAAATTGGTTTCGCAATGGGTATTTAGGGAATTTACATACTTCTTCCAAGCATGTAGGTCAGTTTCATTTCGCAATGCATGTCCATCTGGACGTTTTCCCGTTTTGCGATTTCCCCTTTTTCTTGCAGTACTGCATCAATAATGCATGCACCCCGCAGCGCAAATGCGTTCCAACTCACAATAAAGACGCGAAGACTTTGGAAAACGCGGGTATCTCTTTCATGCGTTTATCGTTTATCGATTTTTTTGTTGTTAGACTTCGTCTCAAAAACAAATTTTCCTTTAATAGTAGACGACTACTGATCGCACTGATCTTGGTCTCAAGTGTTACTGTACAAGCCCATAGTTTACAGTGGGTGATTTTTAGGTAGATAGTCTCTGGATTTGAAGCATTAGATTGAAATATATTAGGCAAGCAGAGTATATATGCCACCGTACAAGGTCTGCGTTATTTCAATTAAACTTAGGGTTATTTGGAATTCTGGACATATCAAGAACCTTTCAAGAAATATTTGTCGGGTTTCTGTTGTGTTTTCGCCGTTAAACTTGCGAAACGTGTTTTCATATGGGAATTGAGACCACATAAACGGTTATTTGGCTTGCCTCTGCTTTACCGGTATTTCTGTTATTACTCATTGAATCAAGTCCAAATCGTTTCTCGAAACGGCTTTAACGTTTAGCCAAAGATAACTATCTCTGGCGAATTTGAGAAAGAAGCGCTAATTAAGCTAGTACCAATAATTGTTAAAATAAATTGAGACTTCTTTAGCTGTACTGGAGCTAGGACAAAAATATATTAAAATCGCCCAGCTAGAAACGTACTTCACATTGAGACTTTACAAACTGAGCAAATTGGAGGGATAGCTTATAGAGTTCGGAAATATCTCGAATATAATCAGTTTGTTACACAGATTGGATAAAATGATGTTTTATCAGTGTATGCGATTATGATTTACGTTTAATATAAACTCTGTAGACAATTGTGTGAATTATTAATGAAAGATGACGGATGAAAAGAAACATGAACAAAAGTATGAAAGCTTGAATCTCAATTTGTTTACGGAGGTTGCTTCTGACTACAAAGTCAACTCGCACAGTAAAAATGTTCAAGAGGACAAAATAAATGTAACGGAGAGATCGGATTTGGAAATATATGACAATCAATATGGATTTAACGTTTTCGAAGAAAAAACTAACAACGAAATTAATATGGTTATCAGTATAGATTCAGATACTGATGATCATTCTACAACAGCTGAAAATGTTGAAGGCAAGAATAGCGATCGATTGAAACAATCGTTGTCCAGTCAAACACTTTCTCCCGATACGCCCACTGGCGTTGATAAAATAATGGAAAATATCGATCAATTAATTCAGATCAAATTAGCCATATCTGAAGGAAACATCCCAAATGATGCTTCGTCGGATGAGATACTAGATTATGTTAAAGCAGATACAATGGAAATGAGGAAAGAAAACAACACTACTCGTCGTTTCCAGGATGTTCAAGAAGCAAACACCCCAGAAGAAGGAATCCATGAAAACCAACGATTATCTATTTTGAGTGTCGATAGCTCAGCCGATGGAGATTTGGTAATCGATGAAAATACCATAACTGTAACTGAACCAAGCAGTTCTTACGAAACAACAGAAAATACAATCAAACTTTGGGATGAGATGCTAGGAAATCGCGATACACATTATGATAGATTCATATCGTCTTGCCCAGAAAAACTCTATCTGAGTTGCACGAGAGATACCGCTGCGGCCAGCAATGAGTTGGCTGGCACACAAAATATCCATTCTCGTTCGGGTTCTTTTCATAGTAACGATGGAAAATTTGAACTAGTCGGAATAAGCGGAACATGCAAAATTACTGGAAGTAGTAGCGTGACCTCTGATCTTTTTCGGTCGTCTGGCCAGGAAAGTCCACAAAAAGATGACTCATCCGATGAGATTGAAGATATGTGCCTTGACGCGATACGAAGACTGTCTCTGAGCGCCCCGGAGCATCTTTCGCGTCATAATAGTCGGGACGAATTTGACAAGTCAACAGCTACGCCTATTACTACGGGTACCGCCTCACCTTTTATGTTTTCTAATGAGGCACAAGAAGCACTTGGTGATGACGAATTGAGATATAGATTTGCTTTTTGTTCTGATAATAGCGGCCCTACAACTGATGTTGAGAGTGCATATGATAGAGATATTGATATGTTGTCGGAGGAAGGATGTCTCGATAGAGACGGCATTCTGAAAGAAGAAGATCTACGACGTGCTATTTTTGATGCGTTTCACGATCTCAATTGCAGTCACACACATGCGACTTCTTTGCAACCGGGCGTCACTTGTGATTCACTGGAATTGGTCGGAGATTATGACGTTGTGCCAACCGACAATTTACCTGGGGGTGGAAATAAGAATGAAGGGACTGGTGATCCAGTCAAATATCATTCTTCAGATGACGACTGTAATTTTCCGCTCCACCATAGTAATAGTAAATCTTATGCCCCTTCAAATGGTATTCTCTTGGATAATGAACGACGACATACATTGCGGAGCCTCTTGATGAATACCCCTCCAGTGCCAATACTACATCCTCATGCCAGTGCCGATCATAATACACCTGATGGAGATAATATTAACGAAAATGCTTCAGAATGCAATGGTACGGATCTGGAAATGGATGCAGTCGATTCTATATCATTTACTGCTTTAAAAAACCACAGAGCAAATGAGGCCAGCACTGGGCGTCTTGTATCTCCGAAAGTTGAACAAGAAACTGAAGAGCAACCTTCATTTGAGACCAATCGAAACTTAAATCTACATATTCAAAACATAGGTGAACAAATATTTCCCGACGATCCAGATTCTTGTCGTGATTCCGCCTTCTATGGCTCCAGAGAAGATCCTTCACCAGATATGCCTTCGTTACCCACCGTTACAATCGACTACTTCGTATCAACAGATACTTCTATCCAGCGTATGGATGGATCTTCTCCGGACCGGGACGGGTCTTTAATAATCGAGAAAGAAGATCTTGATTCGGACAATGATCTTTCAATGACGCCTTCCATATCAATAAGCAGTTTTCTTCCTTCTGAGACACAGTCTGTGAATATTCCCTTTTCGATGACCTCGAAATTTTCAACCTCACCAGAAACACATGTGACTGCTGCATCATCGCTCCCGGAATACAATTTTGCACAACATGAAGGTGGAATAAATTTACAAAACGTAACAAAGAAAAAAAGAAATAAAAAAATGTCTCGAAGAGCAAATTCAAAAACCGGAAATGAAACTAATAGAGTAGCTGCATCCGATGCGTCTCAAATCAAATCGAAGCAGAGGACAATCACGCGAAGCACCTCGACATCGAAAAGAAAATCAAGCCCTGTCAACCGTAAATGCATGCTATCATTAAGTCAAACTAATTCTCAAGTGCTGAAAATTAATGAAAAAGCCAGTGCTGGGCGTACATCCGTTTCTCTCGCTTCTTCAAGACAATTAGAATCAAGAAAAAGCAACTGCTCGCCCATGGTAAACTCGGATCACAAAATAACAGACATAAACAGAAAAATGAAGAAGAAAGTTCCAAAGCAGCACAAACCTAATACGCTGACATTCAAACCAGATGATGTAAAATTACGGCCATCAACGAGACGAGGGAGGGATGCCACGAAGCGTAGATCATGGCCTCCAATGATGTCTGATCAATCGTTCAAAAAAGTAGGCTTGAAACGATCTCTATCTTTTCGCGACGGAATAAATAGGATCAACAGTTTGACCAATGGCTACAAAGACTTCGTCCCTCTGTCTCCCGAGAAAAGAGATATAAGTCGTCGCGCCCACAGTGAAGGTTCCGTTGCTTCTTCCCAACTCACAATTTTCAGACAAAGTAATAAAATTGGGAGACTTCTAGAAAGTAATAGGAGGCATAATGAAAACCGAATTACACCGAGAAGGACACTTAGAGATCGTCAACCAGGGGAAAAGTATGATAAGAAGGCTGCGAAAACTCAGAATTTAGCTTCTTTAAAGAAAAGCACAAATGCGAGAAAAATACGTAAAAAAGATGACCAGGCTCAACGAAAGGCAAGCAGCTCAACTGAAAGTTTTGCTAAAGAAAACTTGTACAGTTCTGAACCAAGCCACGTTACAAAGATGTCTTCAAAAAGTTCCCGAAGCAGATCGTCGAGATTATATAGATCTTCTTGTTCTGAAGAAGGTTTACGTCGTCAACGAAATCCATCTTCAAGTCAGGACCGTTCACCAACTGTAAGATCTCGTATCACTTCCAACTCTAGCGCTCCAAGTACAAAAACTCCACCGAATACGCGAAAACCGTCTATTCCCCGAAAGTCGGCTCCAGATTTTATACAGCAAAATCGAATTAAGTCAACACGACAAAAACCCATTGGGGCCATCAGAGCGCTCGGTAGCAATCTACAAAAAGCATCGGAATTATCTAAATTGAGAAGAAAAATAAGGGCCCCAGAAATCAAGAATTATTCCTCTCGGAAAGCGCATACATTTGAAGAATCTTTGAAGAAGAATAGGAGCCCAGTAAAACCAAAAATATACAAGGCAATGCATAAGGTAAGGTCGGTTCGATAGTATTGTTTTGACGAAATCGTATTGCATCCACTGTTTGTTTCACTGTTTTGTCATGTTTTGCTGGTGAAAAGTTGTAAGAAAAATCTGTGATTCCTGTTAGTATTTTCAAGTAATGTTTCCTCTCAAATGACCATCTATCCGTTTGCAGTTGACAATTATAAAATTTTACAGTGCGTGCCGAGATCGTTAAAGCGTATAGTAACAGACGATATCACCGACCAGAAAAATTAACTATAGAAAAGTAAATGAAGCTTTTAATACTCTGCAGTTTTTTTATGACCTTTTAACTATTATAATCACTAGTTTAGTAGCATCGCAAATTGGTAACATAAACTTGTGATGGGTCAGTGAACCGGAAATTGCTTCCGTTTCTACGATTTCCTTCCGTTAGGTATGGGTTAAAAAAGGGGATTTAGTATATCTATAATTCAAACTCGGCCAAAAATGGTATGGTTAAAGATTTGAATGTCTCGTTGTTGAGTTTTTATGTCGTCATTTGTTTGCTCATGAGCATGCAGAAAGCTCTATACCTATATTCTGTTGCATTGTGTTCATAGTCTTTATGATATGTGGTTGTTGAGTTAACAGCATGTCGATAGTTAGCAAGTCAGTCATTTTATCAACAGTTCTTATGATGAAGTTAATTTTTGAAGGTGCTTCTCGAGTTTTGAAAGTGTAACGCTCAGGTAAAACTTGACGAAGTAGTCCTGTTGCTAAAACAATAGTTTTATCGCAAAATTATTTAGGATATGTTACGTCGGGTGTTCTAACACTTGATATTGCAGTGTTCCTCCCCTCGAAAATTGTCCCAATATTACAACAGAAAATTTATTCATTTCACCTAACAAGATTTGAAAGTATGTAATCTGGAATACAGCAATTCGTTTCATTTTAACCTCGTTTTTATTTTATTTTAATCTATATTTGGGCTTTGCGCTCACGTTCGAACATGTACATTCGTTTTCATAAGCATCAATATTTGATTAAATTAGCCTTGGGATTGCACCAGATGTGTTTCAATCGGATTTCGAATAAAGAGCTCATAGCACGCTATCGAGCGTGATTTATTAATGAAATACGACAACAAATCACCGCTCAAGATCGGTTAATATAATATACGACCGGGACTAAACGATTTTTAATGTGTATTCAGAATGCCAATGTTATTTTCGTTTGCTTCTGTCATTGAACAAATATTGCGTAAATATTCTACCACACCTAAATGTCAACGTTGTGTCAGGTTGCTGAAAAACGTGGCGTTACGGTTTGTTTAATTACTATTTTTGTAAATGATTTCTGGCTGCATTGTAACATATATTATTTGTGACAAACGACATTAAGCATGTTGTAAAATTGTCAATACTGATGACATGACGGCAGCACAAAAAGTGGGTGATTTATTTGAAATGGCCTTGATCTTTAGGTTTAACAAGAGGTAAGCAATTTCGGCTTTTCTCTAAACATACGTAGGCTATAACTTATTTCCAAATTTTCGGGTCGGATATCCTCCGTACATTTCAACAGCAAATGAATAAATTCTTAGTTTCAACTTCGATTTTGCTTCTTTCGATAGGAAACTTCTAGGCACTAATGACCAGCCACGTGTGTTCATATTATATTATACTTGTTTTGATTAACGCTTCAGCAGTTGTGGGAAAATTGTTGGAGTAAGTCAAAATGCTAGGGTAATATTATACCTTTGTCTTTAGAGTTTCAAGCGTTTCATAACAAATTGGTAACACTATCTCAAACTATGACACGTTATGTTAAAAATGTAACGAGTGAAAAGCATGGCTAATAGACAAATAGTTTTTGTTTGGCGGGAGTATATTTGTGCGATGTTTGAGCTGAGTTATCGGCAGCTTTGGACTGACAAGGAATCGAATCCATAAACGCGCAATTCGAATGAGGGTCGAATAGTTCAAAACAAAAGAAACTATTGTTGTGATATTTGATGGGCTGAGCCGCGACGCTAAAACCGGTTGTGTCATGGAAGAAGCGAATACACGTAAAGTCAAACTTATTGTACATTTCAACGTGTAAACAAAAGGGTGTAAAGGTGATGGCACGGCGATCCCCCGTTAAATAAAGGCGCGTATTTCCGGCATTACTGAATTCCACTGATATATATTGATTTTAAAGTTGAGACTTAATTTATGACTTATCATCTCTAATGTTTTGCGCGAGAATAGAGAGGTTCATTAGTATAGCGTGGTGACGTGATTTTTGAACGGTATTATTCCAAGTACCCATATTAGTCATCGAGCAATGTGGCATTTTGATGGACTAGATGCGAGGATATTGTGGAGAGTAAGTACTGTAATCGCGGCTATCAATAATAAATTCAAGTCCAAAATTAAAGTTAAATTATTTGACTTCTACGTTTTAAAAGAGCTCTAATAATCTTATTATGACGTAGATTGCGGTGTGTATGTTGTATTTTTAATGAACATAGCACACTTGCGTATGAACATCAATGTTATTGATAGCCTCGTGGTTCCATAATTGCCGGTGTGACTGAGCTATCAATGAAATTCTGAACACTCAAATCACGGTTGGCTGAATAGACAAGTACGATCGGACACTTGCTTGTAACCGTATCGCCGATTGTAAGTTATTTCCCTACACTCGATCCCCCGATAAATTAAGATAAAAACCCGTGTTTGACGAGGAACAAACTCAGGAAATTAAGAAGACGTATTGAAAATATTTTAGAATGGGTCATTAGATTAAAATGTTTCAGGATTCAACTTACGTGTTTGGACAGGAAAGTAACTCAGGCTATTCAGATGTCTGCTTTTGGTTCGCACGAGTAACCAAAAACTTCCACAACCTTCGTCTTCGATATCAGACAAAGGATTTTTTCGTTTTCGTTGGCATTTCGACATTCCAAAATTAGAAAGGAGTATTTTCTAGCTAGTTGTGAATTTCAATACAATTTTTCAAACTTCTGTAGGATATAAACACGAACTGGCGTTGTAGTGTATCAGCGTGATTTGCATATGAGGAAAAGCATAACGTGACATCATGTTAGATAGATAATAAGGAAGTGTAGAAGTATTATTTTGATAGTTTGTTGGTTGAATGATAGAGTAAACGGATTTTTAAATGAAAAGTTTGCTTGTTTACCTTGATTTTTCGAACAACGAACGAGTTTCATGAATAGACAAATAATCTTTCAATTTTTATGAATAATAATGTAAATTTATTTGAAAATTTAGAATATTATTTCATCGGGACGAAATTAAAATCATTAAATATTCGTCGAATAATAATATATTTTCATCAATTTGAGGTTTTTGCCTAAACTTATCAGCTAAAAATGCAGCGCATGGCGTTGTAGTCAAGCTCGATATGATTTGTTTTATACCAATCACTGTTGTATCGTAATAAAGGTAAGTCAAACTCAAAATATATTTTATCATATATATTAATTATTTTGTATAAGAAAGTGAAGAAGTAAGTGAGTGTGAAAGAAACCTCAATATTGTCTGTTTTAACTAAGAATCGCATTCTCCGACATTTTGCATACCATATAGTTTTAGATCCTATTCCCCTGGACGCACTCTCACATGAAACGAGTGTCGGACCAATATAATTATCCAGCTTATTTTGAATATGTTTATTAATTCAGATGGATGATCTGCACTCTGTTCGCTTTAACGCATTCAATCATGTATTTGCTACAAATATTTTGTATAATTCAGTATGAATAAGATTTATGGGTTCCGATTTTAGCGAATTTGTATTCTCTACTGCGGTCAACGTGACGTTCCACGTGTTTTAGCTCGAAGGTCTTTGCTCGATTCACTCTAATTCTGGCACATATCCGGAGGCTTCAATATTATATTATGAAATATACTTCACACAAGAGCTTAACGTATTAACAGACTAAAGTATAGCATGGTCGGCAGTGCATAAGCGTCAGTCTTTGCGTTGAGCAGAGTTTGGGTTGTCGTGTGATTTGTTGTTTGTGATTTTTTTGAAGGAACTATGGCTAACCTTGACTGTGATCAAGCGTTAGAGTGGCAGGTAGATATATACCCATATTTATTTCGAATTTCAGTGGGGTGGCAACATGATGAGAAGCTTATATATATATATATTATCAAAGTTCCTTCCGGCTTATACCATTGGGAGGATATGTCCATATTGTTAACGTTTCGACTAGATGTACTCCGAAATCGGAATCGAGTATTTCTATGATATCATCTCTAATGTAAACGATTCGCTTGAAGAAAATTGTATTTTCAAAGTAAACGAACTAAGGCAACTATGATTAAAGATTGTATAACAAAAATGTACTAAGGTGTTAATTGAAACAACCCAGAAGCTATTTTTTTCTCCTAATAAATAGTTGATTTCATTCCCAACGACTCTTTCTTATGAACAATTTTGGACATGTTGTTCTCCGTTTTGGCGCCACACCCTGCAGCGCTTGGTAAATCACGGCTAACGTCGGCCTTGTCGTCATGGTTTCGGTGTAAAAATATTCTAGCAAAGCCAGTCATTAAAACACTTCAGTCCCTCAATGTCTTTGTTGTTCACCGAATTCTTTTCAAGGATTTGCGTTATCGATTTTTATGTTTTCTTGGATTTCACATTGGTCTTTCTATATTCATACTTGACGGACATTTTTGCGCTCTTGATCTAATGATATCGTGTTTGTCTACCTTGCTTAGGAAGGTTTCTTAAGGCGTATGCCAAAAAATGAATTAGGTAGCCAGGCAATATAATATATATACCTGCTCTATAAACAGTGGCCGTCACCACCGGGTAAATTTAGGTCAAATATCAAATTAATTTTGGAATATTTGTTTTTTCCTTTCTGTGATGATGTAATCCTAACATCTGGTCAGATGGAATCAGTCTAGCCTCCGTTTCTGAACCTTCTGTGAAGTCATAATATATACCTTGCAATCGATGATCACATGTGTGATTGTGTGAACATCACCGGCTTAATAGTTCATATAAGCTACAGCAAACGTTATAAATTATTGTTAAATGTCAAGCCATTTCTGAGACAGGAAGAATTTTTACACGGAAATCTGAGTCGGATTCAAAAAATGCTGTATTAGTTCCAGTTTAATCCAGTCTTTTATAACGCCACTAAGTTTCTTGTGAGTTGCGACGGTAATTATCTTTATTCTGGAAATCATTGCACTGTTCTCATTTCTCGAGCAAGATTCAGTTATGAATTTTAACATAGATCGAGTTGATTTAGTATTAATTCAAAGCTGGTCGAGTGGTCGAACCTGGTGTCTTCGACAGTAATTTGAAAAAGCTTCCAAACTTCTATTAGGAAAACAACCTCATTCATGATCGTTGAGTCTGAGCATACCTATACGGCACTACTCTGGACGGATTGCAGTACCATATTTACCCCAGTTCTTAATTTATAGCTAGTATTCATTTTAATTGCAGAGACCAATGTCAGGCAGCGATGATACCTTAGGGGAGGCCTCCCCCAACCTCCCATGGAATCGTACACAACATAATTATCAGAACAAAGAGAATAATGAAGCGACGATTTTGAACGCTGCGGAAAGGGCAGTCATCCGTATCGCTGGTGAGTCACTTCGTATTTCATTCATTATTCATAAATTTGTCTCCGTGTTCAATGCTTTCAAGTATGTATGGTACAGTCTCTAAGCTCTAGCTTGATGGAAATGGACATTTTTGATATTATCATGCAAAAAAATACAATCTCTAAAGAACTAGAGCGGTATCTAATGAGCTGTGTCTTAAAGCTGAAACACCGAAATGTTTCTGGAGTTTTTATTTAAAAAAGCTTTCAGTCTGCGGCTTCTGCCAGAATACGTGACTCTGAAATTTATCTCAAAGTGGTAAATTATTCATGCGTTTTTGGATTTAAAAAAAAAAGTATATTCCCTTCAATACTCCCGAGAGCGTCGTATCGCAATCTATGTTTAGCAATTTCTAAATGGGTACAAATCCCACAGTAATTCACTTTCCAACATCAGAGTTGGGATAAATATATAGTTTTAATAGTCATTCGACTGTCATCCTGCATAGCGGGCTTATTGGCCTGCCACAGTGATAGTGGCTTCGATTTTGCGGCGGCCACGCAAGCTCCTATCAACTGGGATGTATCCAGTGGTGGGATTCAAATCTTTTGTCAGTCGGTTCCATCATACAACTGTCGAATTTTCAGGCGGTTCTGTTACAAAAAGTCATGTAATGCTAACCGGTTCGCTGATCTCATAAAATTCATAGAACCAGTGCGAACCGGTTGAATCCCACCATTGGATGTATTGTATTAAAAAATTTCTTTTAATGTTCTCAAAGATCTCTAGCCCGAATCACCTCTCCGGATAGCGCATACCCGCTGCCCTAACCTCATTGAAATTCTAAAATCTGCTATCGACACTTGTGTTAGTATTAATTAACAATGATTCGAAACGTGGACTATATATTGACGAAATAGAGGTTGAAAGCGAGATCATGCCTAATTAAGCATAATCTTGCCATTATAATCGCCAGAATTGATTATTGATTGAATGTAAAATGGATTTGTTCTTATTTTCCATATGTTAAAACGGATTGTTGGTTTATAGTAGTACTCTGAATGAAGCGTGATCGCTTACATGTGAATTTAGCGGTTTTTGAATTTCAGTCTCTAACAGCTGTAATTTGGTGATATTAGAGACATAGCGTGTTTAAATACTTCCGGAAAATGCGCTATGAGTGATTTATAACTTGTCAATTGGAAATGTGATTTTTATGAATTAAAACGAGAGGATTGAGCGTGGGATAGCATATTTAGATAATTTTATGAAGTTTCTTTCGGTTTTTAGCATAAGCACAGTAACAATTTGTATCTTGCTCAGCATGCGTAGTAAGGATGAAAATTGATATAGCGAACAAACGACAAGTCTTTTTATGTAATATAATATAATAAATCAAGAAAAATGCACTTTTCCCTGACGTGAACAATTTTGGGCTTCGGATTCTAATTTTGGTCCTATCCTGTTTTTACTTTTTGTTGAATGCGGCCACGGGTTTCACAACAGTGGCATACGGTTAGGGGCATTCAGGGATACCTATCAAAGAGGAGAAAAAAGTACCAATCTTTTATTGAGGCTTTTTTGATGCAATTGTTTTGTATATTGCATTTTTTTCGAAATATGAGTATATACCGTAGTTGTGTCATCAGTGCATGTATATGACCGAGATACGCTGAGAAACTAAAATGACTTGCTTGCCCTCTATACTTAGCTCGTATGATTATGCTCAATTCAACCCTAGCACATATTTCCTGATTTCTGAAATGGTAACAACGCTCCTTAAAGTATTCCATTCTTGAGCAGAACCGTATCTAAGCAGTTCATAATTCATATCAAGAATTCCGTATCTCTATTGTAATAAGAATGTCTGTATATATACTCATATATATATATACGGGAATCATCCGACGTTTCTGAAACGCTATAGGTGTGCGTGGTCGATAGTAACACGGTGATTTTAAGATATTTCACGACAGAGTCGCGATTTTGCGAGTACTAGTTGACCTATTCAAAAAAATAACTTCTAATATGGAATTTGTTTCTGCTCGTGAGATTGCATAGTTGATGTTAATTCTTGTATTATTTATGAGAATAATCCAATGGAAATATCCACATCGGAATTTACATCAGTCGTGTATGTACGAAAGAAGTTTACTCGTTTTAGTGTTAGTTTCTACACTGTTGTCGTCATAGTTCCTGGTTTTTACATTATACTCGCCCTCAAATTAGCAGCTGTCCGATTCGTGGGCAACCGAATCAGATGTTAGACTCTGCCTGTCATGTCTATTATTGCAATCGCTTCTTGTTGTCTGCTGTTTGCCACCTCGTCAACGGGTTGATATTTCTTGTCTGGAAAGGGAAACATCACAGCTCGTTAGTCTGTTCAGTTATTTGTGATATGCCCTTGAAACTAGACGTATGTTGGATGTCGGGTTTAGTATAAACTAGGTACTTCGAATGATACTGAATTCGAATATGTAGCTAGCACGTACCCACACGTAATTGATTGTTTTTGTTACCAAGTCTGTTGAGAAAATGGAGCGATTGTCATTTAGATTTTGTTTAGAAATGTATTTTATGCAGCAAACCATGAGTTTGGAAGATAAGCAGTGATTAGGAAAGGGAAATTAAAAATATTTTACTGCAAACAATTTAATAACCATGCAACACCAAAGTCAGTCAAATAATGTAAAACATTTTAATCTGACGGAGAAAGCCCGTTGAAAGTTTATGTTGTGGATGCTGCGGCAGAATATTTTCGCCCAACCATAAACATAATTTGGTATTCGTTACAGGCGAATTTCACCTCGCCTTGGGCACTGCATATTAACGATACGTTTTGCAATGAGACATGGCAAAATAATAAAAAATAATTTTGTGGTGAAGCGAAGTTGGTTACAACATTTGGGGCGTTGTGTAAAATTGTTTCTAACTATGTAGGTTGTGAACCTGATACTATGAAATGCAGTTATGGTCAAATGAATACTTCATGAACGCGATTCTAAATTCATTTGATTTAGTTTGCTATGGGCGTTGACTTTGATGCGGTAGAATGGCACAAACTAATAAGATCGCAATGAAGTTTTGACATACAGAGGCCTATTCCAGCTGTGATTTCAAACAAGTTATGGAATTGGGCATATGGTTTACCTAACGATACTTGCTGGTTATAGAATTAGTTTATGAATCTATATATAACTTAGAAAGATTGAAAACCCATTCTATTGCCACATCCCGCCTTCTCTTTTTGGTGTGAGCTAATGTGATTTAAACTTCGCATAAATATTTCATTAAACACAGATCGATAGGAAGGAAAATAGTCTATGGTAGCCTGTGAAGCAATGGAATGTTAGGCCGTCGAGCAAGTCAGGTTGTTTATTTACAGAACTTTTCTGTCAGATTTGGGAAATGATATTCCATCGGAATATTGGTTAAGCATGGCCCATTTATCAACTAAACATGTTGGGCGGCGTTGCTAAATCGCCCGTCATCAATGAAAAGGGGTTTTGAGTACTAGTCGAGTATACAGTCACAAAATTGATACTAGACCAAGAGTTGATCAAATACACGTTGCATAGTTTCACAACCATATACTGTACCAGAGTAGTTTAGTATCATCGAAGCTTAATACTAGAGCTCTTGAAAATAGCTGAAATTTATTTGCCATGGTAGTTGATGTCATGACTTTTAAATTTCCACTTAAAATGAAAGACGGGTTGAAAGAGTTATATATTGTTGGGGCATCACACACAGACTTTTATATATTACATTTGCTTAGGAGACAAACTGCGCCTTTCCCGAGTAAAGTCATGAATTGCGTTTAGGAAATCGAGACCATTGCGGCATGTTTAGTTTTAAATCTAATTCTCCCCAGGGACGAGAAATTGATCACATGCATACGTTGCATTGCAGCACATTAATCAAATTTAGAATGATTTGAGAGTAAGGTCCATTTGTTATGAGGTTTAAGAATTTAACCGCCTTAGTTGAGATGGAAAGTCGAAAACCTTTGGAAATGATTCGATTTGGTAGAAAATTTCTGTTCTTATTGGTGAAGTCGACTTCGCGTAAAATGAAATTTCGATCTATGACTGGATTAAGATTAACTTGAAGGCTAGCCAGTGTTGACTAATAGAATTAATAGAATAAATAGTACTAAATTCACGATCTTGCTTTCATTGTATCTTGTTTTGTTTTAAATCAGGTGTTAGGACCGTAGTGGGGTGGTGTGTAGCTCGTTGCTTTGTGATATCGGGCATTCTTAGAACATCAACTCTTTAATTTGGAGTTCGAGATTTGGCCTATATTGGGTACATACCACCGACACCACCTTAATTTTAATTTCCACACGCGACATCGTTTGCGTTATTTACGAAGCCGATGTTCAACATTTAGAAGAAGAGTCCCATACAAAAATTTCCCGTTTTTTTAAACGGCTTCTGAGTGCTTTTCCTGGGCTCTCTCTTCGCCGTTACTACCGTAGCGCAGGAAGCATCATGGACTGGAACGAAGCCGCTTGGAGCGATAGGGAGCATGGAACGATTACTGAGGAGGAACAGGAGGCCATGGATGCTTATGTGCTAGCAATGAGGTGGTTCAGAGGTATGTTGTGTCGTCGCGGTCTTTGATCCCGCATACTGTGTTTTTGAAATATTCTGATTTTCAATATTTATTTATCTGTACGAGCTTCAATCGCAGTGATCTATAGCAATGGCATGCTCGCAGTATCGGTGAGGTGTGACTGAAAAAGCAAGCTCTTATAGAGAAACAAACCATTAGTGGGGTTTGTGGGTACAACCGAGGAGCGCATTTAATATTAGTCCTAATCCAGAAATTATCAAATGTGCATTTTAAAGAACATGATATACAATACGTATAAAAGACATGTTAGTTTTTCGAATATTTACAGATATTTGACAGTTCTGGGGATAAACCTACTTATCATTACTTCATATCACCCATCTTAGTTAAACGAGTCAACTTTATTTCTCACCCCTTTTATCTAACATAATAGAGTTCATTTAACCCGCGCCCGAAAAAA